TCTCTTAAGTAATAATGATTTTAATATGTTATGTTTGTTCAAGCATACATAACAAACAGATTCGTGCAATCTAAGTAGGAATCCAGACATGCACTTACTTTAGAGAGTGTATTGACAGTTACTATCAGAAGTAAATACATATTACTTTTATTTAGTGATGTTCTTTACTTTCAATATTTTTTTATCTAGATCTATGTTAATATGTACACAGAAGCATAATAATGATGTTGATTGTAGACTTGGTTATAAAAGCACATATAGCCAACAACCCAAATGTTCACTAGTAAAGGAAATGTTAAATATATATTGTCTTTTATGAATATAAAATTCTTTTAACTTTGTTTAAATCTTTGTATAAGACATTAGTGTATAAATAATCCTATTCATTACACATGTAAGAATTTTTCATTTGCATAAAAAACCATCTGCTTATATGAGTTCATATGCAAAGGTATAATTGTTCTTACAACATATTTTCACATTTTCTACTATTTTCTCTTTAAAGTATGATTGTGCTGAGTTTAAATAGAAGTTTGATGTTTCTATACATATAAATCAATCAGTATTTTCTTTCTAGTTCCTTTCGCTATCATAATTTGAAAATAATTTACTGGGTTTGCTTTTATAAACATCTATGAACATTCTTACCTACTATAGCTTCAGTATTTAGTTCATAATATTGTATAATGGTTATTCAAGAAACAACATGATGTTGTATTTCACCTTCTTTCTTCCTCAAAGCGTTACTTAATCATCCTTGTAGCACAATTCACTGAACAATGTATCCTTGCCTCATTAGCTTGAACTAGCATCTTCCAGTTGTAATCAACGCAAGTTAGAACACGTTTCTGGTTTTCATTCTATTTTGTTCCTTAGTTGTCTTTTTCTGTGCTTCATACCACCCTACATTCAACTAACACCTTGTCAATCTGTGCAATATTTTTATTTTGTGGGCCGTGTCTCCCCTCCTCCCCGCCACCGCCCCATGCACTAGCTGTCAACCTTGAATGTCTTCCTCTATCCCTCTTTTTGTTGCATTCTTTTTTTGAGACAGGGTTTCTCTGTGCAGCCCTGCCTGTCCTGGAACTCACATGTGGACTAGGTTGGTCTGTAACACACAGTGACTCACTTGCCTCTGCCTCTGGTGTTGGAATTAGAGTGATGCACTACCTTGTCTCACATACTTAGGTCTCTTCTATTTACATAGCAAACATTTACCAATTGAGCCCTGTCTCTAGACCTGTGCTATATGATTTTACAGAAGACTTTTCCAAGAAAACCTTAAAAACTCCAAGGGAAAAAATACAAATAATCCAATCTGCTTGAACATTAAAAACAAATCTGGGAAGAACCATCATCTTTAGAATATTAAATTTGTGGACTATATTTTTATTTGTTTAAATGCATTTTCATGCTTCTTGTAAAGTTTAATCTTTTTTGAATTGTATGTCTCATGTTTTTCTTGTTTATTACTGAATTACTTGCAATTATGAAAGGAACCATTGTTCTTAATAAGTACAATTGATGCTTAGGAAAAACACCATATTATGTACATTTTATATAAACTTTTAAATTTATGTTATCTGTTATGGTTATCCATTTGTTTCTTTTGAGTTTTCAGGGAGACAAGAGTATCAACTTAAACTGGCCTTTGTGATGAAAATGATGGCAATGAGTGTTTTGCTCAGACTCTCATAGCTCTAGTTTTCAAATTAAGCATGATGCTGGCAGTTGCCTTCCAGATAATCGAATTTGTCTGAGTATAAGACACTGAGATTATGTACTACTTCCTTTTTCAACAGAGTTCTGACAACATGTCTTTAGATGTGCAGTATGTTTCAACATTTGCCCCCATCCTATGAACCAGCCCATAAACCCTGATGCTCCCCTTAGAATTTTCCAGTAAGTCGTCAGATTTCAAGTCACCAATCTATCTTTTTTGTCTCATTTCATATGTGCTTGAGTCGGCTGCATGGAGATTTTATTTTAGATTCATATTAATCTTCTGCTGCTGTCTGCAGTTTGATCTTAAGCAGAGTATTAAAGGGGACAGGGAACATTTTAAAAGCCTTACAATGCAAGTATATACAGAACCCCACTCATTCCAACCAACGAGAAACTCTTCTGAAATAAATTCAAAATTGATATTCTCTGATGAGTCCTCAGAAGTCCAGTTCCTTTGAAGTATAAGACACTTCACAGACAACCCATGACAGAGTCAAATATAATGTCAGTCGTGTTTCTAAGGTGACTTTAAGATATCACACTTATTTAGTTTGGTGGATTTCAGCTCAAGAGTATTTACTGTAGAAACATGTCAAGAGATTCCCTATGGTTCCAGATCTTTTTTTCTTACTTTGTTTCTTATTCTCTCATTGTTCTCAATATTTCATTGTGATTATTCTACCCTGACTGTTCAAGTTCTACCTTCTCCCCAAGGAAGCTTTTCATAAGGGTCCACATTTTAAACAACTGTAGATCAGTACCATGAAGGTGAAGCCAAGGGACTTGACTTGGTATACTGCTGATAATTTTGAGTATGCTGATATAACATACACATGATCTGGTTTTAAAACTAAGAATTATAAATGGATAAAACACATTATCCAAGTAGTACTTGCAGCGAATGATGACTTCTCTTTCTTTTTAGATATGCTTCTGGTTCCATTATGAGTTCTTGTTTTCCAGTAGTTCTGTCATATTTAGTTCAATGAAACTCAGGAAAAGTTTACTAAAATAACTGCCTCTTCATGATTATAAACAAGTTGAAATAGAACACAGACAGGGATGGGCTAAAAAATGAGAGAGAGAGAGAGAGAGAGAGAGAGAGAGAGAGAGAGAGAGAGAGAGAGAGAGAAACAGCATTACATCTTCGGTGTTATATTTTTACATTATTATAAAATTTAAAATTTATGTTAATAATATATGTTTACACTCGTGACTGAAAATAGAGGGATTGGGGAAGCATGTAAAATGGATGCAATTAGAGAAATGGTATTTGTTTAATGAAAAAAGTGGGACTGAAACTGGAAATTTTTTGAGGGGGGGCAGAACTGTGTGCTTTTGGCAATATTTGATTTTATTCATTCTAATGGCTTTTTTTTTTCCTGGCTGTGGCATCTAGTCTTCTCCTCTGACCTTGTGATTTCAAAGCTCCCTCTGTTGCTAGGTCAGAGTGTTATATTGTCATTTCACTATCTCTGACCATAAAAATTTGACCACACATACTTATTTTGTGAGGATTTGGGTTTTGATTAGTTGAAAGCAGATGCTATGTGACTTGGGACAATACTCACCATCTTCTGCTCCTTCCTTTGCCTCTCTAAAGATTCATGAAGACACCGGACAGTTTTTGCTCTTGCCTCTCCTGGGAATTAGCTTCATCAAAGGGTTCAGTTTTTCATGAAAAAAAAAAAATCTAAGTGATTGGCCTCACCCATTTTTTTCATCCAGTGCTACAGGTTGCCACCCTGACATAGAATCCCTCCCTGAAGTGTCCCCTCTCTGCTCTGTGATCTTTGCAGACAGTAAACCAGAGGATCTGTGACTTGGCAGAGTGAACTTGCCTTTGAAGAGGCTGTGGGCATGGAGGCAAAGCGTGTGTCTGGAACAGATGTTTTGGGTTGCTTACAGTCTCCAAACTCTTCCGACTTCCAGGATGCCCTGCTGAGTGAATGGTAACTTTGGCAGCACATTTTGCTTCTATTAGCTAATCCAATGGGTTCAGGAGACACCAAGGGAATAAGAGAAATCGGAGAAGGCTGTCCTCAGCATCAGTCACACATGGAAAACTTCACCAGAGAATACTCCATGGCATTCCGACCAGATTCCAAGCTATCTAGACCTCTAAGCATGGTGTTGCTGAACACAGACCGGCACATTTATCTCTCTGTGTGGTTATTGATTGTATGACTTATCTTAAAAGAAGGTCAGTTCAGGCCACTTATCTTTTGCACATTCCCCCGTCCCCCAGCAGTGGTGGCTGACAGACTTGCTCACATATGTGTTGATGCCAGTGGCCTTCTAGAAAGGAATCCCATGCCTGCTTAAGGAGCTGTGTGATAATAAACAGGATAAGTAGAAGGAGGTCAGTTGCCTGTCCCTAGGTACAGATCCTTAATCTGCAAAGCCCCAGGCAGCTGATTACCCGGGGTTTACAAAGATCTATTTGCTGGTTGTGTGTCTCCCCACCTCTATTTCCCCCTCCCGTCTTCTTCCTTCTCTCCTCTGTCCCTCTCTCCTTCCGTTCTATTCACGAAATTTATTTCTCAGCGTGCATCCTTCATTTTTATTATCCTTGAAAAATTCCAGTGTGTTTCCTTGTCCATGCAGCATTACAAGTGAATTTATAGGGTGAGGAATTAGCCTGACCCCCGCCCCCTTTCTCCATCCATAACATCATTCCAACAGGCGTTCAAACAGTGTCTCCGCGAGTTTTAGGCAGTTCGTGTTAGGCTGTGTGGACGCAACTTGCTTGCTTAGTCTCTCTCTCTCTCTCTCTCTCTCTCTCTCTCTCTCTCTCTCCCTCCCTCCTTCCCTCCCTCCCTTCCTCCCTGCCCCCCCCCTCGCCGTCCTTTTCTCCCCTCCCATTTTTGCACACCCACACCCAGCGAGCATCTCTCTCCAGACGTACAAATAGGCGTCCGGGGCGGGCCGGGGAGTTCAATGTCACGCTGGGCAGAAGTGGATCAGGAGAGCGCCGGCGGCGGCAGCG